GATACGTACCTGCTTCCCTACCCACAGACCATGATAGTTCTGGGGGTGGGGAAGAGCCTTTGCCCTACCCCCCAGAGGTTCCCTCTAGGCGCCCATGCCCCTGGCACTGGGAGGAGGCTTCACGCACTCACCCTTTTGCCTCCAGGCCAATCAGGGCTTGCAGGCAGGGGAGTGCACAAAGATTCCTCCTGGCCTGCCAGAAGCATGTGGCGCTTCTAAGCTCCACAAGTACCTTGCAGGGCGGAGGAAACTTTGTGTGCTCCCCCACCTCCAGGCCAGTCAGGGAAGCCTCCTCCCACACCGCCAGGAGTATGTGGTGCTTCTAAGTGCCTCATGCTCCTCGTGGGGCAGGGGCAGGGGCAGGGCAGAGGAAACTTTGTGTGCTCCCTCCACCCCCAGGCCAATCAGGGCTTGGGGGTAGGGGAGCACACAAAGTCTCCTCCCACTGGGCCAGGAGCACACAGTGCTTCTAAGCACCGCACGCTCCTGGCAGCGCAGAGGAAACTTCATGCACTTCCCCCCAACCCCAGGCCCTAATTGTTCTGGGGGCAGGTGAGCGGCAGGGTCTCTGTGGGCTGGATCAACCCATTTGGTGGGCTGGATCTGGCCCATAGAGGCCTCCTGGCCCACCCCTGGTCTAGATGGTGCTTGGTCCTGCCTTAAGAGCAGGGGACTGGGCACGATGACTTCCTGAGGTCCCTTCCAGTTCTAGTGTTCTGTGATTTTATGACTTCCTCACTGCTGATACTGGAATTTGTTGCAGAGAAAGAAAGTCACAATTTGAATCTTAAGCCTTTCAGTTACTGGGGCTGGGGTGGATTTGCCTGACTGGGAGCAGTATTTGGGAGGCTCAGACAGAAGAATGGAGATTGCTTCATAGGGCTCCACCTGCAGTGTAGCAGAGGGTTGTTTCGGGAGAGTGGGCTGGGAGAGCATCGGGGGAAGGGAAGTGGAGCATGAACACCACTTAATTTTTCTACAGACAGGGAAGGGAAATAGACGTGCCCCAAGGCTGCAGCAAACTACACAGCAGGGCTAAAGGCGAAATAAGCTATGCAACCTCAGCGACGTCAATTGCGTAGCTTAAGTTGAAATAGCTTATTTCGGCTTTTGGTGCTGTCTGCGTAGCAGGAAGTCTGAGGCAGAGCTCTCTTCCTTCGACTTCTCTTACTCCTTGTGAAATGAGAGTTACAGGAGTCAGAGTAAGAAGTCCTGCAGCTCAACGTTATTTCAGCATTATCTCAAAATAACTGTTTATAGTGTAGACGCGGACTAAGTTATTTTGGAATAATGTCTGTTATTCCGAAATAACACTGTAGTGTAGACATAGCCTTGGTGGATATGCTATCATGACCTGTACCTGGAGAGGGAGTATTCTCTTCCACTAGCCCCATAGTACTCAGTGGAATACAACCAAACATGGGCAACCCACCCAGGATGATCTGACCATTTGTACAAACATAAGACTAAGAAGCATAAATGAGTTGCAGTAAAATTCACTTTTATTTGGCCAGCCAAGAGCCATATGACCTTCCAGATAAACTTGAGAGTCTGCACCTACTCGTGCTTCCATTACATTACAGTGTGTGGGAGCTTTGCCACTGATTCCCGAGGTTTTCAGCCAGCTTGCAGTGGCTAAGAAGGAAATAGGGAGTTTGGGCTTTGACAGCGGCTATGTTAATCTGTAACAGAAAGGGGCACTGCCACTGTTTCCAATGAGACCAAATGTTTCTGAGGTTGTTTTGGGACATGTTTCTGGTGCCATGTGTATGCAGTTTCTGTCATGATGGGGAGACCTTCTGTCCTGTCAGAGGTTTTCAGCCAGCTTGCAGTGGCTAAGAAGGAAATAGGGAGTTTGGGCTTTGACAGCGGCTATGTTAATCTGTAACAGAAAGGGGCACTGCCACTGTTTCCAATGAGACCAAATGTTTCTGAGGTTGTTTTGGGACATGTTTCTGGTGCCATGTGTATGCAGTTTCTGTCATGATGGGGAGACCTTCTGTCCTGTCAGAAATTAGACCCCTTGTTCCCCTTCCCCACCATCGTGACATTGGTAATTGCAGAGCGATTTGTGGGAATCAGAGGGATTTGTGGGCATGTAGAGCAGAAAGAGGGACAGACCTGGAGCCATGAGATTTAAAGGGTGAAATCTGCCTCCGCCAGTGGCAGCATTGACTTCAGTGATAGCACAATTCCTTAGTATGTAGCTAAGCTGGTGCAAAGCTCGCCTACATTTGCAGTTATCTAAAAAGATTGCTATAACTGCGGTTCTACAATCACTAGAAATTTCCATGCCTGCAAAACGTGCCTGTAATTCTAAATAGGGATGCCAGGAGTTAATGTACCAACCTTTCTTGTTATTGGATACGGCTAGACTGATTAAATAAATATCCCTTCAGTAATATTTACATGGCTCATGAGCTGTCTGTCTTTGAGCCCCTGCTGTTCTAAGCCACACAGGATATGTCAACACTGCAATTGGGCCAGCAAGTCTAGGCATCTCCAAGCTAATTTTGATTGAGTTAGCATGTTAAAAATATCAGTACAGATGCTGCAGCATATGCTAGTCCCCTGAGTCCATACCTAGGGTCCCAGGTTGGACTACAGGTGTGGCTAGCCCATGCCACACTAGCTACAATGCTATTAATTAGAAAGCCCATGTGTGTCTACTTATGCTGCAGTCACACTTCCTGATTGCTGTGTAGACATACCCTCAGTCAGAGTCACTCCTAGCATGTAAATTGCAATCTCTTTAACTATTCTGTCTTCTGACTGGGAGGCATGAGGAAGTCTATGATGCTCACACTGCAAGACTCTCTTAAATACACCATTAAAATGAACTAAACAGCAGGCTAGTGAAGTGACACAGGCTGTCAGTACTAACACTTACCAGCATAAACTGATCACCAGCTGAGATTAGGAAGAAAGCATCCCCATGGTAGAGAGCAGTGCATAGTTAGATGAACTGAGAAGCTCTCGTATTTTCCTCTGAAACACAAAGCACTAGCCACTATCAGCACGTCTAAACTACATTTTTTTCAAAAGCAGATATGCAAATTCTGCAGGAATTTGCATATCTTCTTCTGATCTCACTTTCAAAAGAGGATCTTTCAAAAGTGAAAGTAGACTGGATGCGTTTTTTAGGGGGGAAAACCCTTTTTCGAAAAAAAGTGTAAACCTCATTTTTAAGGAAGAACGTTTTTTTCGAAAAAAGTTTTTTTTCCGAAAAAAACGCATCCAGACTACTTTCACTTTCGAAAGAGCCACAGGAATTTCCATATCCTCTTTCAAAAATTCTGTGTAGACATAGCCAGTGGGAACTACATACTACCAGACTAGATGGATCATTGGTTCAACTCAGTGTGGCATAATCTTTGTTTCAATTATTTATATTTGAAATGCTACTCTTACTACTAATCAAAGAGAGCCTCCCCCAGGCTCTAAGAACATAAGAACAGCCACACTGGGTCGGACCAAAGGTCCATTTAGTCCAGTATCCTATCTGCTGACAGTGGCCAATACCAGATGCCCCAGAGGAAGGGATCACAACAGGTAATCCTCACATGATCCCTCCCTTGTCACCCACCTTCAGAGAAACAGAGGCTAAGGACATCATTCCTACCCATCCTGGCTAATAGCCATTGATGGACCTAACCTCCAATAATCTATCTAGCTCTATTTTGAACCCTGTTAAAGTTCTAGCCTTCACCGCATCCTCTGGCAAGGAGTTCCACAGGTTGACTGTGCACTGAGTGAAGAAAAACTTCCTTTTGTTTGTTTTAAACCTGCTGCCTAATAATTTCATTTATAGTGGAAATAAGTAAATAACTTTTCCTTATTCATTTTTTCCACAACAGTCATGATTTTATAGACATCTATCGTGTCCCCTCTTAGTCTCCTCTTTTCTAAGCTGAAAAGTCCAAGTCTTTTAAATCTCTCTTCATATGGGACCTGTTACAAACCCCTAATCATTTCTGTTGCCATTTTCTGAACCTTTTCCAATGCCAATATATCTTTTTTTGAGATGAGGTGACCACATCTGTACGCAGTATTCCAGATGTGGGTATACCATGGCTTTATACAGAGGCAATAAGATATTTTCTGTCTTATTCTCTATCTCTTTTTTTAATGACTCCTAAGATTTGCCTTTTTGACTGCCACTGCACATTGAGTGGATGTTTTCAGAGAACTATCCACAATAACTCCAAGATCTTTCTCTTGAGTAGATGTAGCCAAGTTAGTGCCCATCATATTATATATATAGTTGGGATTATTTTTTCCAATGTGCATTACTTAACATTTATCAACATTACATTTCATTTGCCGTTTTGTTGCCCAATCACTTAGTTTGGTGAGATCTTTTTGAAGCTCTTCAGAGTCTGCTTTGGTCTTAACTATCTTGAGCAGTTTGGTATCATCTGCAAATTTTGCTACCTCATTGTTTATCCCTTTCTCTAGATCATTTATAAATTAATCATTCATAAGATGCTAGGAGCCCTAATATCAGTAATAGCATAATAAAATCTCTGCAGTGATCAGTTGTCATTGCAGTGGCAATGCCTTTTCCATCCTTTCCTTATCATGCCATCAGCCTCCTTCCAAACTTTATCAAAGAGAAGGCTTTCGTAGCATGCCCTGAAAGTCATCAAATGCCAGCTAGTTTGGATCAAGTGGGAAAACACCTTCCAGAGTCTTGGAGTCTTCAAAGAGAGGGCTCCCTCAGCTGCTTCCACCCAGCTCAGGCTCTCTTCTGACCCCAGTTGTGATCCAGTAAGTAGGTTGGTCCCAGATAATATGGAGCTTTATAAGACATAATCAATACCTTAAACTTTACCCAGAGACTGATGGGCAGTCAGTGCAAAACCTGGAGCACTGCGTTCATGGAATCCCAGCAATACCCTGTTCAGTAAATGAGTCACTCTTGTCTGCACTAGCTGGATGTTCATTGGGCTGTGTTAGTTGGAGCTGGCTAGAAAGAAAAGTTGACAGATAATATGGAGCTTTATAAGACATAATCAATACCTTAAACTTTACCCAGAGACTGATGGGCAGTCAGTGCAAAACCTGGAGCACTGCGTTCATGGAATCCCAGCAATACCCTGTTCAGTAAATGAGTCACTCTTGTCTGCACTAGCTGGATGTTCATTGGGCTGTGTTAGTTGGAGCTGGCTAGAAAGAAAAGTTGAAAGAAAACTTGACACACTGTAGATCCCCATACTCTATTACAAATGCATATTACAGAAATGGGCATTCACACACATTCTCCACATACAAATACTACAACCCACAAATATATAAATGGCAGATTACACTTTCAAATGAAACCACTTCTCAGACATCTGCCTACATCATCAGGATGTATGGGTCGCAGTAGGCTTTTCCGGCACCTCTCAAGATGAAACTGCATAAATAAAGGAAATAGGCATCATTTCTATTTGTATGCAGGGGTGACATATACTTAGGAAGGACAGTATTTTATGTTGACAGTGACATTCATACTTAACAAAATAGCAATAGTACCCAACACTTTCATAATGTCATTCATCTGCAGATGTCAAAATACTTTACAAATGTGGATCTGTATGATTAATACCCATTTTACAGGCATAGAAATTTAGGCACAAAAAGGACAAATGACTCAGAGAAAGCTAGTGTCAGTGGTAAGGTGGTAAGTCTGCACATTAATGGCACACTAAGAACATAAGAACAATCATACTCGGTCTGCGATTAGAACCTAGCTAAGTCTCCTGAGTGCCCTTCCCCAGCTTTAACCACTCCACTCCACGGCAAATTAGGAATCTAGTATTGACAGAGTGTTTTATTTTCAAATATTATTTTACTAAACCTCACAACCCTCCTATGTGCTAGGCAGGCATTACTATTCTATTTTGCAGATAGAGAATTAGATGAAGAGGCTATGGCCAAATACCAATATTTTCAAACTCAAGCAGAAGTAAGCTATATTCAGGTACTGAAATAAGTGGCATGATTACCAGGCCTATATACCTCCTTGTGATGGGGTTGAACAGATCCTGAGGCCTCTGCTAGAGGTCCTGTGGTCTGCCACACCCAATCCCAAAGAGGATCAGTAGCAAGGTCCTCTAAGAAGGCTAGAATGGCTGCAGGAGACTCCGCCTAACAAGGGCCAGGAAGGCCTTATAAGAGGAGCTGCTGGACCAGAGGCAATTCAGTTCCTCTGGAGACCTCAATCTGGGCAGAGCTGGAGACTTGCCTGGCAGAGAGAAAATGGCAGCACCATGGAGAGCTCCATGGACAGAATGCATTGGATACTGTTGAACTATGTTGAGACCCTGAGATGAAAGTCCTGAGGTGAGGGCAAAGATATGGCCTCCTGGGGGAGTAGGCGGGGGTGGGGGATGCCCTGAGAGCACCACTCTAATCCAAAGTGGAGTAACAGACTCAAAAGGACACTGCAGAAGGCACCGAGATGGGCCCCTGTTAAAGGTCTACCTTGGAAGGGGTTGAGTCACACAGGGTGTCTCAGCTGGAGGCTTGAGTTGCTGAAGGCGGCTTCAACAGAGAAAGTGCTGGCACATGCACTCAGCTGGAAAGAGGGTTCTCGTGAGAGTTGAGCACCGCCCCATTACACTCCTGCTCCCACTGCAGCCGAGGAAGCCTAATGTTAGGCTCACAGCTTTGAAAATGTCTGATGTCAAACAATGAGTCAGCTGCAGAGTTGGGGTTAGAATTTAGGGGCTGCTGCGCCCCAGCCCCAGGCTCAATTTACTAGATTATACTGTGTTCCTTACTGCCTTCATACTTACTGAATGAGTATTCAGCCTGGAATCCAGGATACTCCAGGAAGTAGTCACTGTGGAATTTGACGAGGACTACGTTCCCAGAGGAGATGAAGGCTGGAACTAGGCCATTTGCACAGTATTTACTCTCAGAACGGGCTGTGCTTGTGCCCCCATCATAAATAACCAGGTAGTCATGTTGGCATTGATAAGAATCCTCCAGATGGAAGGACAATATTTTCAGTGAGACCTGGCAATGAGAGACAAGCAAAGCAGACATCTTCACTGTGCGCTCAGTGCATTGTTTCTGGGACTCATACTATCATTAATGATAGTCTGTTGAGATATTATGGGATGAGTTAGGGTGCCAGAAAACATTCAAATAATAACGAGGCAAATTCTGCAGGAGTAAGCTGGTGATGTATCCAATAAGAAACTGTTTAGACAGGGCCTTTAGCATTTGTACAGAGCCTAGCACAATGCGGGCCCTACAGGAAATAACACCAACACTGTTCAGATAGTCCCTTCCATCCCAACCTATGCAAAGGGATCCCTCACACGCCTCACTGTTGGTGCACCACAGCCATTACTTTCCACTGCACAACAGTGCAGTAAAATTCCTATAAATTTGTAACAGGAAAGGGGGGAGGGTGAATCCATATCCAATGGGGGAAGGTATTTAGGAGAGTAGAATGTAATTACTCAAATTGAAATGTGGACATGTCACCATCCCTAACCTTATGTGCACTGGGAAATACTGTGAGGTTTTAACTCTATAGGGCTAGGCAGTTTCTAAGGCTACGTCTAGACTGCAGTATTCTTGCACAAGAAGCTTTTAGCGGAAGAGATCTTCAGCAAAAACTTCTTGCGCAAGAGCATATCCACACTGCAAAAGTGCATCAAAAAAGCAATGGGCTTTTGCGAAAGAAAGTGTCCAGACTCCATGGACGCTTTCCCGAAAGCAAGCACTGATTGGTATGCACAGAATAGCCACCAGGGCACCTGTGCTTTTTCCTCTTTCCTCTTTTTGCACAAAACCCCCTCTTCCTCATCCAAACATGCCTTTTTGCAAAAGAACTCTTTTGCAAAAAGGCTTCTTCCTTGTAGAATGAGGAATACCAATTGCACAAAACCCCCTCTGTTCTTTCGATTCTCTTGAGCAAAAATGCACTTGAGGTGTGGACGCTCCGAGTTTTTGTGAAAAAATGGCCATTTTTCTGCAAAAACTCTGTAGTGTAGACATAGCCTAAGTGTTTGGGCGGCTGCGAAAGGCTACTGAGGATAGGTTGGAGGAATGGGGTTCTGCAGAATTGAGAAGGTTCATTCTGCAGCTGTGGTGAGGAATAAAAGGAGAGAGAAAGAGAGAGATCTGGGAGCTAGTTTAACATGGCTGTCATCCCTTGGCTCAGAACTCTCGAGGCATATGCTTGATTTCAAGGTTCTAAGGCCTAATAGCCTCAATCTTATACAACGTGACGGGATCTTTAGAAACCACAATGGGTCTGGATTTCAATATTAAACCTTATTTGAAATATGGTATTCCTATCCACAAAGCACTACCAGCATCATGCTGCAGCAATAGGTCAGCTCTGACTCAGAGGAAAGAAATCTACACAGTAAGTCACCCAGCACCATTTCCTGCATTTTCCTGAGTTTTCCTTGGAAGTTTCCTATTCAAATATTGACTAGGTTCAGCTATGTTTCCTTAACCACAGTGAAAGGTGGTTAAGTCTGCACATTAAGTATACCCTTTAGAGACACTAAGAACAAAGAACAATCCTACTGGGTCAGAACATAGGTCCATTTAGCTCAGCATCTTGTCTTCCTACAGTGGTCAATGCCAGTTGCTTCAGAGGGAATGAACAGAACAGGGCAATTTATCAAGTGATTCATCAGCTGTCATCTGTCCCAGCTTCTGGCAGAGGCTAGACACTCCATCCCTGCCCTTTCTAGCGGATAGCCTTTGGTAGACCTATCCTCCATGAATGTATCTAGCTCTTTTTTCAACTCTGTTATAGTCTTGGAGATAGAGATGTATTGACGTTCATTAATTTGTTTTACTATCTGGAAAATTCCAGCAATGTTGTGCTATATCTTAGTGAAATTGCCATTAACTCAAGTCACTCACTCCCGGGTGTCCTAAAAACACAAAAATAGTAGCCTGGTTTGGATTTAATTGTGGATGATGTTCAAACAGGATAAAAACTCAAGACCTCCTCCATGTGTTGCCCAGGTAGGCAGCTGATAATCCTCTACTTCAAAGGAGGTGTGCTCCCCTACAGTCTCATTCTTTTTATTTGAAAAAGGCAAGTTTGAGAATGTGTCTCTCTCAGTTCTGTGCCCACTGAAACCAATACCCTTCCACAGATGAGTATCCGAGACAGTACAAAATGAACTTAAATGAGTTGGAGAAACTAGAATTCTGTGTACAAGCCAAAGTAGAAGAAGAAAGGGCAAGCCAGGGGTGGGGAGAGGAGGGGAAGGTACGTGGCAGAATGAGGGTCTGCTACACCCCATTCTCCACTGGTGGCAGGCATTCTGCAAGTTGTACAACTGAATGGGGGGTCCCTTATGCAGCCTTAACTTGTGTCTGGGAAGGGCAGAGAAGAACCGGGGGCAGCCCAAGGTTCTCCATGGGCACAGTGGAGAAGCATGCCCTTCCAATTTGATTATTTTACATTACAAACAGCTGTTGGATATTCCACAGTGATCAGAATTCATTTGATTTGCCATTGCTTGTCTCTCCAAGCAACCCTACAGCAAGTAACATCAGTTTACCATAAATCCTTCCGGTGCTATCATTATCCAGGCACAGTCTGTTCGTGGAGGATAATGAGAAGGATACAGTGGAGACTCAAATTTCCCATTCACAGCAGTAAAAGTCTTGCCACATTGCACTGGGAACAGAAAAAAGATTAACTGTACATGGGAACCCCATTAGGCACCAACACACACAGATTCTAACAGAGCTGTCCACAAAGACTCACATGCATATATTGACGTGGATCGTGCCTTACAAAGAAGTCTTTTTATGCCACTCTAGAAGCATAGAAAGGGGTTGAGCAGCAAGTACAAAATAGACCTGTTGAAGGTTGTATTCCAACTATTGTAATGGCTCCAGCGTACATCAACATCACTTGACATTTTTAATTTAATTTTTTTTGCATATCATTTAAAATAATCATCCACAGCTCTGAGGCAGAATTGCAGCAAAGTTGTCAGACATGATCTCAGGCCTTCCTCTGGAAGACTGGACACTTACCAGAACTATAAGAAGCCTTAAATATGGGCATAGAGGTGCCATCACTGACCAACTCCACAAGCATCATGTTCCCAGAAGACACTACTGAGGGGAGCTGCTTTGGTCGACACAATTTGTTCAGGAAGACAGGGTCACTCCTACTGCCTCCATCATAAACAAGAATATGATTGGAAGCACAGTCTGAGGAGGACTGGATATATAAGGAATTAAACTGCAGGAAAATCTGGAGAAAAATCATGGAAAGATTTATCGACACAACTCCAACTCTTCCAACAATTCACTCTTAGCAGCTGGCTTGATTTTATTATTAATTCAGTTGCTCAAGGAAAAAAATGTTCATTTAAAATGTTTATGTAATAAGTTCAATTATCGTTTAGAAGAGCACCTGGAAATCAATTGCACACTTAGATCTAACAAGACATAAAATAGCATTTCATTCTAGAACTGCCTCTTACTTTATGTGCTGGGAGACGAATCAGCCATACAGAGTTGGTATTATTTGGGTATGGTGATTGGTAGATGGTAGAGGAAAAACTTCCAGTCAAATTAGAGAGCAAAGTGCTATGGACCTCTGGGGGAGAGAATAAAAAGGTCTTAATGATACTGGATGCACAGAAAAAGCAGCTAATAGAATTAAGTGCCCAGTATAATACAGACACTCTTAATTTCCAGAGTGATGAGTCTGATATTGAAACACATACAAGGGAAGACAATTTAGTTTGGCTTCTCTTACAAAGGATTAGAATCCAGAAGGGACTGTTCCCTTTCTGATTATCTGTAACCACTAGGGGCAGATTCACAGACGCTGTGTCTAGACTGGTAAGTTTTTCCGCAAAAGCAGCTGCTTTGTGGAAAAACTTGCCAGCTGTCCACACTGGCCGCTTGAATTTTCGCAAGAACACTGACTTCCTACTGTCTGAAATCAGTGCTTCTTGCGGAAATACTATGCTGCTCCCATTCGGGCAAAAGTCCTTTTGCGCAAAGCTTTTGCGTAAAAGGGCCAGTGTAGACAGCTCAGATTTGTTTTGCGCAAAAAAGCCCCGATCGCGAAAATGGCGATCGGGGCTTTTTTGTGGAAAAGCACATCTAGATTGGCATGGACACTTTTCCGCAAAAAGTGCTTTTGCGGAAAAGCGTCTGTGCCAATCTAGACGCTCTTTTCCGCAAATGCTTTTAACGGAAAACTTAAACTGTGCCAATCTAGACGTAGCCAGAGTGTGTTACTGGGTGGTAGAAATGACATCTCCATATGCTAGCCTGGTCTCCTATTCCACTGGGAGGATTCACCATGAGGCCAGTACTGAAGCTGCGACACTTTATCAGGGATTTCCGCTTGAGAAGGATAGTTTTTGTTGAAGGCTGTGGCTCCAACAACTGGTGGATATTCGGAGGTTACAGAAAAGCTCAACTGATCAAGGCTACTGAAACAAAACCTGGCTGTACCACATGCTCAGCCTGGAAAAATCCTTACTTGCTGTCTGTTGTTGCAGCCTCCTCCTAGCCATCTTTTGGTTTCCAAAGTCTTTACTTGTACAGGCAGTCCCCGACTTACGCGGATCTGACTTACGTCGGATCCGCACTTACGAACAGGGCTTTCTCGCCACCTCGACCTCGGGGCGAGAAAAGTTGCTCCCGGTGCCCCTGGTCTGCTGGGGACCGTCTCCAGAAGACCAGGGGCACCGGGAGCAAAGCCGCAGCAGCGGCGGGTTCCTGCGCTTCTGAGGCTTTGCTCTGGAGCAAAGCCGCAGCCCAGGAGCGGCGCTACTGGAGCAACCCAGCAGCACCCCAGCTGCTCTGCCCCAGGCGTCCCCAAGTCAGCTTCTGCTGAAACTGACCAGTGCTGACTACAGGAAGCCCGAGGCAGAGTTGCTCTGCCCCGGGCTTCCTGGAATCAGCCGCTGATCAGTTTCAGCAGCAGCTGACTTGGGGACGCTTGGGGTTCTTAAGTTAAATCTGTATGTAAGTCAGAACTGGCGGTCAGTTTCAGCAGCGGCTGAATCTGGATGCCAGTTCCGACTTACATACAGATTCAACTTAAGAACAAACCTACAATCCCTATCTTGTATGTAACCCGGGGACTGCCTGTACAAGCTGTTATGGGCCCTATGCATGTCCTTTCCAGAGTGAAATTCACCTCTGTGCATGGGGCCAGCACATGGGCAGAGATTCATCAGCTAAGCCTCCCATAAACCATACATGCAGAGGTTTTTTAACCTGCATCATGGTGGATTTCAGCTCTATATGTCATCCTTTATATCAATGATGGGCAACCTAGGCTAATGAGTGGGCCACTTGAGAGGCCCCCCTTCATCTCAGTGGGCCACAAGATTGTCATAACTAAGATGGTCTCCCAGGATAGGATAATTTTGCTAATTGCACTTGCACACCTAGAATTTTCAGGGTGTGCTGACTGAACCGTAGCAGCACTTTGGATGCAGAGGAAGAACATGGCTCTTATAGTCAATGTTGTGTACAATCAGCATGTACCTCACTTCATGTGCCATTGCTTTATGTGCATGTCACTTTAGTAATACCAGTAGAAAAAAAATGAAGTGGATGAAAACCAGTGGAATCTGGCAACTTATGTGTGGACCATGGCAAACAAAATGTCTTGTGGGTCACACAGAGAACCGCAATGGGCCGCAAGTGGCACATAGGCCATAGTTTGCCCACCTCTGCTCTATATGCTTAAACTAACCAGAGTTGAGAGGGTCCTTTGATTTTTTTTTCCCCTTTGTTTGCCTGGTTATTCCAGAGAATCTTTCCTTTCATATTGCACATCCTGGAACTTTTTCTAGAAAAACTAAATCTGGTCCAGCAATGCTAGTTTTATCCACAAATTACTTTAAAACTGTGCATTACTACACAGATACATGCAAATGTCGGATCTCTTCACAGGATCCTCACAGCAGAGCCGACAGCCACCGTGGGGCACCAAGGAAAGGTGGGGAGCAGCTCTGGGGGGTAGGGAAAAGGGCAGTCAGCCCTTAATGCTGCCCAGTCCGTGATGCTGGCCCCCTCCAGCACCTCCTAGCCACATGGAGTGGTGCTCTGGTGCTCCCATGGCAGTTCAAAGGGTCCCAGGACTCTGGACGCCCCCATTGCTGCAGTAGCAGCAGTGGTGGCCAGGCCCTTTGAATGGCTGAGCTCTGGGGCAATTGCTCCCTTTGTCACTCCCTGTTGGTGGACCTTGATCTTCACAACTGCCCATCTGATTTTAATAGAAACCAATATGATGAGCAGTTGCTTTTTTTAAAAAAATGGTGCTCTATCATCAGAGTTTCACATTTCAGTCATTTTTATCAAAGATTGTAAGCGTTTTATAGGGGAGCATATACCACCTGATCCCCAGAGCTGCACCATGAACAAATCTCTTGTCTATTGATTGTATTGCTCCAGGGAGAGATTGTACAAAATATATTTATTTTTAAAGCATGAGATCATAGCACAAGAGTGGATTAAAATGAATAACTAAGGAATAATATTGGGCTTACTTACCACATTCATATAACTTATTGATTTTGGCCACATCTAGGTTACTCAGTCCATGCCTCTGTCCAATACGCACTCTGCTATCAGGGAATGGTATAATGGTCGCCTTGCCAGATGTATTGGAGAAAGCAAATCTGTAATGATATGAGGAAAAACACTCTAGAAGTTCACTAAATTATTTCATTATTTTACCTTCAAAACTCTGCCAAGTTATTTACTTTGGACTGCTGTTGAGCGTGATATACTGAAAATATACTTTTAAATTGAACACTGGATTTTATATTTACAGTTCAGAGGCTACTAACCAATCAGAGTTGGATAATGCAACACGTAGGCACTGATTCTGTGGTGATTCTGTGGTGTTCCCTGGAGCTCCAACAGAGAAAAATTAGTGGGTGCTGAGCACCCATTGACTGCCAAGCTCCCTCTTTGTCTCTCTCCCCCCATGTCTCTTCCCTACTTGTGGCCCCTCTGACCAACTCTTCCCTTGCCCTCTCAGCACTTCTTGAGTGCTGCAAACAGCTGTTTTGCAGTGTTCAGAAAACTCCAGTAGGGATGGGAGGAAGCAAGCAGGGCAGGGAAGGGTAGAATGTGGGTGGGGCAGGGTTGGAATGGGACTGAGAAGGGGTGGGGCAGGGCTTGGAGCAAAGCCCGAGGCAGAGACTGAGGGGAGGGTTGAGCATCCCCTGGCTAGAGAGGAAGTTGACAGCTATGACACATCATCAACCTAACATCACTCTCTTACCTGTGGTAGTGCATCACGGAAGAATAGTCATACTCAAGGCCCAGGTTATTAGCTCTGGTTGGCTTAAAGTGATAAAAATCACCTGTCAGTTACAATATATCATGTTTTAAAAGGCGAGTCACAGTCCAGTAACTAAACAAGAACAACAACAACGTCTGCTTCTATGCTGAATTCACATAGGCTGTGTCCAGACTCAGGGTTTTTTTTGGGAAAAGTAGCCTTTTTCCGAAAAAACTTCACCTGCGTCTAGACTGCAGCCGCGTTCTTTCAAAATTAAATCGAAAGAACGCGGCTTTTCTTTCGACGGCGGTAAACCTCATTTCACGAGGAAGAACGCCTTCTTTCGAAAGTGCTTCTTTCGAAAGAAGGCGTTCTTGAATGTAAATAGGGCTTCTTCGAAAGAGAGCATCCAGACTCACTGGGTGCTTTATTTCGAAAAAGCGGCTTGCTCTTTCGAAAGTTCCGCGTGCAGTCTAGACGCTCTCTTTCGAAAGAGGCTTGCAGTCTAGACATAGCCATAGTATCCTTCCCACACTGCTTTGCAGTAAGAGTTGATCACATACTGAAGTGAGAGGACAATATGCTTTAGATCTATGGTTCCAGACATCTACATTTGTGTATCTGGCAATGTAAGTACAGTGCAGTGGTCAGTGTGGTTTTTGCATCTCCCTCTGTGCCCATATTGTTTGTGGATTAGGCACAGATGGGGTAGGTAACAAACTCCAACCTGTGTAATTTATCTAACTCTCTGAATGTTCATGCTGAATGGGAAAGAATGGCCTTGAGGTTAAGGTGCTGGACTGGAACTCAGTATATGAGGGTATGTCTACACTACCACCCTAGTTCGAACTAGGGTGGTAGTGTAGACATACCCTCATATACTGAGTTCCAGTCCAGCACCTTAACCTCAAGGCCATTCTTTCCCATTCAGCATGAACATTCAGAGAGTTAGATAAATTACACAGGTTGGAGTTTGTTACCTACCCCATCTGTGCCTAATCCACAAACAATATGGGCACAGAGGGAGATGCAAAAACCACACTGACCACTGCACTGTACTTACATTGCCAGATACACAAATGTAGATGTCTGGAACCATAGATCTAAAGCATATTGTCCTCTCACTTCAGTATGTGATCAACTCTTACTGCAAAGCAGTGTGGGAAGGATACTATGGCTATGTCTAGACTGCAAGCCTCTTTCGAAAGAGAGCGTCTAGACTGCACGCTAGACATACCCTAAGGGAGCAATTCCTAGTTCTGCCACAGAATCCCTGTGTGCCATTTAGTTATCCTATACCTCAGTTCCTCAGCTGTAAAATAGGAATAATAGCACTTTGCTACCTCACAGGGTTGTTGTGAGGCCAATAATGCTTCCTTGCCTCTTGTATATTAATTGTGGGATTATATTATGGTGGTCATATAAATACAGTGCAACCTTTGTTATCCGGCACTCTGTTAACCAGAAAACTTTGTTAACCGGCATTGCCCCCAGCCACAATACTGTCACATCTTCAGGTGCACAGGCCTAGCTTTGTTTACAATGATTGGCTTAATTTTTTATTTAAGAAGTACTAATCACCTTTAACTTAAAAAGAGAAATGTGAGATCATCTGCCTCACACTACAAAACTACCAATATTAAGAACTTGAGTTTTAATATTATTGTTCATTGGTTTTTCCCAGGTTGATGGGACCCTGAGGTAACCAAAATTTTTAGATAACTGGAATGCCCTAATCCCTGAGCGTGCCGGATAACAGAGGTTTTACTGTAGATAGAATAAAGGATGCCAAGAAATTATAGTATAGAGCTTCTATTTTCAGTGAGTTGAAAAGGCAGTTAAATCCATATTCAAATGATCATTGGGATGAGACATTTACAAGCTGGTTTTCCTTTTTTGCACCTTTTCCTGGACATTTAATAGGGAGACCCAGTGGGGAATTTACTTTGAGGAAAAGTTTACAGATTTAGAATATAATACTTTAACACTCAGAATAGTTGAACTAATGCAATTTCTCTCTCTTGGTTAAATGAGTTCAAGCATATAATATGGTACATACCTGGACTAATGTACTGCCATGCAATCACTACATACTTGTCCCTGTCGTTTCTGTTCTGTTCATGCAGCATCCCCAGTGCATGGTTTAATTCATGTTGAATTATTCCTTTTCTCATGCAACCCCCATTATGCACTGAAACCATCTGGGAGCCCCCAATCTTTCCAAAGTAAGACCAGCAGCTAGAGAACGAGAGAATATCATTCAAATTCATCAATGAAATGTAAAGGTTGGTGCTACCCCTCATTGCAGTCCACAGCTGACTGGTTCAGGGGCTGTTGCTGCAGAAAGAATCGCCTGTGTTGGCTAGCAAAGTCTTTTTGTTCCTGTGATAGTTTGTTTTAATTCTTGCCCAGTGACTGGACTTTTCAGCCAACATGAATGTGTACTTTGAGCTGGATTTTAGCTATAATTTTACTCTTAAACACAATCCATAGAAGAAAGAAACCTTTAAAAACCCTTTAAAAACATCTGAGCTGTTCTATAGCACGTGGAAACTGCAGTAACTATCACAATCTACAAGGAACACTGACAAAATGAACTGGGATCAGTGAGATTTCATCTCCAGAAGGATGTGTAAAAATCCCCCTTTCCATTACAAGTAAAAACAAATCTCTTAAAGTTTCTACCTACTCTCTAAATAATTCACCAGAACTGGCTGTCCTTACTCAGGAAGGGCCTGTGGCTATTAATAAATTGTCAGGAATAGTGACTTGATTCAAAGTCCATTGAAGTTAATGGGAACCTGTTGGGGTCCGATTCTGTTATATCAGGGGACCTGCAGGTCAGAATTGAGGTTCATCAGTTGTGCTGGGGAGGAAGCATGAAAAAAATGGTAGTAGGTGCCCTATGTTGAGACACACGGTCTATGGACAGAGCTCTTGTGGAGAGACAGGACTGGAATAGTAGGGATATGGCAGATCAAGAGTGAGGAGCATCAAGGAGGTCTGATAGGTAAGTGCTTGTTTTACCTGTTCTGGGTCAAGCCAATGAGTTGTCCCTGATGTCTAGAAGTACTTATTTTACTCACAGTTAGTTTTATAAATCAAAGAGCAACAGACTCAGTGAACTAGAACCTACCCATCCTTAGGAGAAATATGTATATAGTCAGTTTCCGTTGTGCGGTCTACAAAGTGAATACAAGTCAAGGTTTCATATTCTTGGATGGCCTCAATAATCAGAGCTTTCTCCTCAGGACCTGGGAAGCAATAGATATAAATCTTAGTTTAATATATACTGGAGTCATGTGGGTATGTGTATTCATGCATCTACATGTGTATGAAACAGATACTTTAGGGCAGCAGTAGCCTAGTTCTGTGGCACTAATAAATTGCCAGAAGCCATAGGATTGCACCTAATTATCTATCTATCTATCTATCTATCTATCTATCTATCTATCTATCTATCTATCTATCTATCTATCTATCTATCTATCTATCTATCTATCTATCTATCTATCTATCTATCTATCTATCTATCTATCTATCTATCTATCTATCTATCTATCTATCTATCTATCTATCTATCTATCTATCTATCTATCTATCTATCTATCTATCTATCTATCTATCTATCTATCTATCTATCTATCTCTCATAGAGTTTTGTGCATCTATATGTCTGTCTGCAAGTCCATTCATTCAAGAATGCCCCCTAAACGGTAAGAGCTAGAACCACCACATTTGGTATGCAACTTCCTCTTCTCCTTGTTTAAAGCAAAGTCGGGGTTTGGTTGTGTCAGGAAAAACAGGAGTGCCAGGAACAGGATTGTTTTCCATAACATGCAAAGGGAGGGGCTACTGTTTGGAGGGATGTGATATGAGAATGGCCACTGGGGACAGCAAGTTGACATAAGGAAAAAGCAATCCTGCAGAGTGTCTACTGAGGGCAGCTATAGCATCAAGTAAGAGGCCAGAAGGGCTGGGGTTCTGCCATTTTTCCTGCCACTAGATCAGGTAAGTGGGCCCACACTGGCTGGGAAACAGCCACCATGAGCTACCCCACCCCAGAAGAGGCCAGAAAGGAGGAAGATCCCCCCCCATGCTGCCCCAGGACAGGCTAAGGGGAGGGAGAGAACCCCGTTGTCCCCCAAGGATAAGCAGGTGGATGGGGTGCACAGTCCTCACTGCCCTGAGCCCCTCCTCACCCCCAACCCTCACTTTTGCACCCTCTCATGCCCTCATCCTCCTGCCCTGAGCCCCTATATCCCAAGGCCCTGCCCTGACTCCTGCACCTCCCACACCACCAGCCCCCTGCCCTGAAGGACACAGGCAATACCAAGTAAGTATTCTAATATTTATATAAATTAACTAACATTCTAGCTGAAGAGGTGAAATAGGGGCTGGATCCTGAAAGTGCTCTGCACACAAGACTCCCATTGACTTCAATGGGACTCCCCACGCACAGAACTGGCAACATCAGGCTCTAAGGAACTAAGGCAAGATCTTTAGAGCAGTGTTTCCCAATTGGTGCTCTGCGGAACTCTGGGGTTCCACAAAGTGAAAGTAAGGGTTCCGTGAGAATGTGGCACTCCCCCACCCCCTCTTAAAGAGACAAAGGGTTTTTTTTTCCTCTACAAATTCTGGTGGTGTGGTTTTGGGGGTTTTTTGTGCTTGTTTATTTTACCCTGGCAACCCTAGGGGTTCTTTGAAATTCTTTTAAGCTGAAAATAGTTTGTGGCCAAATAAAATTGGGAAACAGTGCTTTAGAACATCGTAGTCCAGACTCTGAATTAAGATGGGCAATAGATTTGAGACCATAGAGCCCTGGGTGGTAAAGTTCCATGAATGAGCTGTAAGGGTCTAACTGCTTTATCTCTAACTGACCTGTTCCTCACTTGGCTCGTATTGCCTAATAGCAAGCTGTGAGAAATCTGTGTCCCAGCATTGGCCTTCTGGCAACCAGGGAAGTGAAAACCTTAGGAGGGTAACAGTGGGATAGTTGTGTGTAAAGTCAAGTCCACACAACCTATTGCATATGTTACCTTAACAGGCCAACCCCAGGGCCCAAATGCTACATGAGGAATTAGGACTGATCTACATAAAACATAATTTTGTGGAGAGGTGTCAGGTTGAAGGAGAAAATCTACACACCACACACTCACCACTGTCACATCTGGCCAGGGGGAAGAGGCTGGGAGAAAGTCTTCCACTGGAGGCCCCAATAGACTTTTGGTGGATGTATACTGGCAGTGTGGTGGTGCAGAGGTCAGGCTGACCCATAACCTGTGAAAGCCTAATCCATCTCTGGCTGGGAACAAGGGAATCTATTGTCTCTCTCCTCTACTCTGTGCCCACAAGTGCTGGTCTGATAGATGGAAAGGAGAGGATTTTCACCTCCCTATCTCTCCTCTTTCTCTCTCTCTCTCCTTTCCTCTCTCCTCTTTGCCTCTTAGCTGTTTTGCCGTGTGTGTGTGTGTGTGTGTGTGTGTATGTGTGTGTGTGTGTGTGTGTGTTGTTTTCTGGAAGTGAGGTGGGGGAGGGAAAGGAAGCATTCCAGTGACTCATTCTAGACTATGGGCCTTTGTGGCAGGAGGGAAGTGTTTCCTCTCCCTTTTTCAGTCCAGTTTCTCCACAGCTATTTGGCAGAACCAGGAAAACGTTAATTATTTCAACACTTGATGCAGCCTCATCACTGTGCTGAATGTTCCATGTTGAAATACAGGTCCCATGGTCTCAGTAGTTCTTCCCGGGCAGAAAAAGCTGGCCTAAGGGGCTGTTGGTTGGCTACTCACCCATATTAGCAGTGTTAGAATGAAATCTTACTGTAGGAAGAAGAGATGACAAAGGGGATGATGACGAGTCCGTTAGATGATTTTGGCCAAAAGCACCAGTTAAATGGACAGACCATAGCACTGCGATGTCTTTTTGGGCTAATGTCACCTTCGTATAAACGGGTCTTGCTGCCTGTGTAGATGAAAAAGATAACTGTTACTCTTAATTAAAAAAAAACTTAAAAGATAGACTCTCAGTTTAAAAATACTTAAAAGATAGAACCATGTGCATCCTACCATATAGGGACTGAAATTCATTCAAGGGTCTGTCTCTGCCAATGTGAGAAGGAATCACCCATTATCCAAAATGTCACCAGAGTCCTCTAACAGAGCTTCAGACTTGCAGCCTGTACAGTTTGAGTGTATCTTCATAGAATTAAAGATGGAATAGAGCTGAGCCTATACCCCGATTCAGAACACCTCTGATGTCTTAGAAGTCCATATCTGAATTCAGGCATGCTGAATTCATTCCTAGCTTTAGGACTCAGACATATCTCTAGTTATAAGACTCTGAAGCTAAAATAAAATAATGATGTTGACTTCAGGTCTCATAGCTAGCTGTGTTTGAGACCTAGTAACTATGAATGGCCTCAGAAATTCAAGCAAAAAAACCCTTAGTTTCGTCTTTGCATCAAAAATATTGAATGTCATAGGTTTTGCCCCATTTTATAGCTAAACAGAGTATTACTTGGGTTCATATGAAATGGAGGCTCTTATCTGCTTTCAAGATTTGTGAACCTGAGCAAACATTTCAATTAATCTGGTCTGAGTTTCCATTTTGCAACAAACCCTAGGACTAGATTACTTACTTGAAGAGAGAGAAAAAAAATGGGCCAAAAGAAAGAGAAATCTGAGAACAAAGAATTCTGTGTAGTAAAATGTGTTTAAACAAACCGAGTCATACTTTTAATACAAGGTTCTGTCAAATTTCTTCTGAGATTTTTCTTAGTCATACCAAAGGATAGCTCATGTAAGGAATCATAAGAAAAAATCATTTGATTTTTGTTTTAAATTGATTACCTTTATTGGATTTTAAAATTAAACCATAAATGGTTTCTTCTTCACTCTCAGAGAAGGCAACTTCTGCAAGAGATATCAAGGATGTGAAACTTCATATGCTTGAACAGGTAAATTATAAAATACTGTACCTAGTACCTGCCATGTTTCTATCAATCTTGGATGAAATTCTGACCCTATTCAAGTCCTTGGAATTTTTTCATTAATTTCAATGGGGGCAGGATTTTATCCTTTATGTGATGCTATATCAGTATAAAATGTAAATTGATAACTAACAGCAAGCTGATGAAGAAGTTGTGCCCCAACATTGTGTTCTTTCTGATCACAGTCATCTTTGTCTTCCCATGCTCCTTCCAATTGTTAGTTACACACACTCATTGTTTTTCATCCTAAATTGTAAACTCACTATAAACTCTCATACTGTGCTTTAATACAGTGCCCCAAACAAAGGGACCCAGATCCTGAATCAGGTCTAAAGGCTTTAGATACTATTACAACACAAATAATAAATCCAAAGGCAGTTTATAATTATGGAAGGTGCTATATAATTAGATGTTACTATTTTTGTTACATTTCCACAACACTTGACTCATGAATTTTGACCCATCTGCATACATACACCAAATATTGAGGCCCTGATTCTCCACTGCCTTGAACTTTGTGTGAAGAATGTTCCCGAACCTGAGTTTTCCACTCTCACTGGTGGTAGCATTTTCCATTGATTTAATTCTCAATTTGCAGAGGTGTAAATGATGCAAAATGACTATAGTGGAAAATCAGGTCCTAAGAACCCTTGTTAGCCAATCATTTGTCCTTTCTTAAAAACCGTCTCTCTCAAAAATGGCCTCATCTGTAAACAAACATCCTAATAATATATTATATACACATTTATAACTTCTGGGTGCAATAATGTAATACCAAATCATTCTTTCAATGTTTTGAGGACAAATGGTTATAGCTTACAATTCAAGATGTCTTCATAGACTCCTTGATGTAAATTATACCCTTGCATTTTACGTGGCTTGTATACTAGTTTTCCACATGCACTAAACAACATGTTTCAGTTAAAGCTGTTCCTTAAAACTGTTAAGAAACTCAATAAAGATTTAAAAAGTAATTACACAAGAAATAAAGTTGCTATTTGAAGTCTGTGATAGAGCAAAATGATTTCAATCTGGAGACAAGTCTCAGAGGGATTGCGGTATTAGTCTGTATCTAAAAAAACAACAAGGAATCCTTTGGCACCTTATCTGTTAGTTTCTAACGTGCCACAGAACTACTCATTTTTTCAATCTGGAGCAGAGGGGGAAAATGGCATGAGCAGCTCTAGAATCTAATGGCAATGTGCTGTAACGTCATACCAAGGGATTCTTAATAATGGACATTAGGAGAAAATATTCCCATGTAAGAAGAAAGGGGAAAAAAAACCAGACTGAAACCCACATACCACTGAGGAATAGTTGTAACCCAAAGCAGTAAAATGTGCCAAGCTCTTTGCATCTATGTACTTTATATTTAAATGAGTTCAGCTCAGTAAGAGGGCTGATACATTCCTGGCTTTCTGATTATAGTAATTTTCCAGTATAGTATAAATCACACTTACCTTCATAGCTTTGTTCAGTCTTCACCTACAAGAAAAATACTTTTTTCACACGCCAGTTCTGTCAGAAATATAACACATCTTGAAAAAGGGGAACTGAAAAGAATCTAAACATTCAGATGAATTTAAAATAGTTTCCAACTTATTTCCTAACATGTTAAAAAGTGGGGAAGGGGAAGATATCCCAGCCATCAATCAAAGAGGTAAAAATCAGACATAAAAAACAAATCTGTGAATGGTTCTGCTGTTTTCCTCTCACCTGGATAGGGAAGCCTATGCTGAAATAAAGGTGAGATGCAAAAAGGACCAGTCGAATCTTCAAATCCATCCTCCACCTCTGAAAACTTATCTGTAACAATGACTATGATACACAGTTCTGAAGATACCTGTTTAAATCGTTTGGTACCTCCTGTGTTTCTACCACATTCTGACTATTCATGCAAGAAGGAGGTGTGGCTTCCAATCAGCTCTCAGGAACAGAAAATAAGAGAAACAATGGACTTTATGTAAATGTGACAGATCTCTTGAAGAAAGGTGTCTAGAGCCTTGTCACAAATGTGAATGGATACTGTCAGATGAAAAATAACTGTTTTCAAAAGTCATTAGAATACATTTGATTATTAAAATAATTTAGTTCCTCTAATTCACTTTTCTCCATTTCTGCTGCTTACTTATTTTTGAATTTCACTCCCCTCAAACAATGAAAATAAATCAGTCAAATTCATCTTTGTTTTTGGCAGTTTCCTGTTCCATTCTCATGCACTACCACAAAGCTTCTCTCTCTGGGCTAGTGAAAACTTTTGTGTGGAATTCAGTCTTTCCCTGTAATATTCCTAAAATAAAATATGCAACATTTATATCAATATAAATATTTGTAATTTTCTTCCCCCAAACCATACATTTGGGATTTAAAATGACTGATTCTGGGTAGTTTCCCTTTCAAAAGCAATGCTGATTTTAATCTCCCTACTGGAGGATTCTGACAAGTGGAAAACATACTTCCAAATATAGTCCAGTTAATAATTACTGAGCTGTTTCTTTTAAACTGCTGTAGGCTATATATTAAAAGCTTGATACTTCAACAATGGTTCATTGGCTGCAAGGTACTCAGATTTAATGACCATGCAACATACATTCCCACATTCAAGCCTTTGGCAGGCTTAGATCAATGGCGGATTCAAAATTCGAGCATATGAATATCCCTCTTACTTGAATAATAACCAGCCAGAACAAAGTAAACATTAAGGGCAAATTCTCAGCTTCTACAGTGCTCAACTGCCTCGGGTGCCAGTGTAGCTGCACAGGAAAATCTCCCAACATTGGGCCTTTTCATGGTGTTTTACTACAGAGATTTATTCTCTGCTACTGGTAGTGCACAGAAACTGGTAGAAAACTATTTTACAAACAACTATCACTAGGAGAGACTTCTAGTCCTTCCATCCTAACAGCTCTCTATTCACATTTTTTTCTTTTTCTCTATGGAGGGAGGTTCTGGATTATTTGTTTGCTAATGTTCTAGGTCTGTTTGGAGGTGTTCTAGACTTTTTGTTTCTCTCCAGATGAGGAATGTGTGAGTCTTTATAGCTTGGGCAAGTTGTGAATACTGGTTACTAAGCATTGAACCCAAATGGTTAAGCAATTTAGCTGAAAATAATGCCAGTAGTACAGTGCTGCCACCAGGCCATGACCACTTGTCACAATGAATTACCACTATTTATTCTTTCTTCATTACATAGCATACAATTTTCACTTTTTCCCCAAGCATTTCTCATTTTAATCACGGGCAATACAAATGCCACACGGTACAATAACTGGTGCTGAATGCAGTGCATAAGTAAAGAGACCCAACAATGTAGGTCAACTTTGCTTTACAATACAGGTCACCTGCAATCCGGTGAGTAATCTGGAGAGGTAAAATATGACCTCTAGGTCTGACTGTAAGCACAGTATCAACAATAACCTCTTATTTTCATATCTCAGTCTAAATGGGCTGTTTGACAATATACAATCATTACCTCAATGTATTACAATGTGTAACTTGAAAACACTGTCTTTCGTGTTGCTGAAATTTGCAGTCTCATCCTTTGTTCAGACTCGCATCTCTGACAACTCGTCACCAACTTTGACAAAAAAATGTTGAGAATAGATCTGCTCAGATCTTTTCTCCAGCATATCCCTTTTCTCCATCACAGTAAAGAACTTCACCATTTCCCCTGCCTCATAGGCGTGTAAGTTTGGTTTGACATAACAGGGAAACAGAAATACCTTTCTATTAAAATTATTTTGAAAATATTGTTACTGAAATATTTGGTCTCAGATTGTGTAAACATTTAGGGCCAGATTGAACATTTAGGGTATGTCTAAACAGCAACATTATTTTTTTTAAAAACTAGCGTTATTTTGAAATAACTTAGTCCACGTCTACACAGCAGGCAGTTATTTCGAAATAATGTTGAAATATTATCAAGCTGGAGGACTTCTTACTCTGACTCCTGTAACCCTCATTGTATTAGGAATAAAGGAAGTTGGAGGAAGAGTGCTCTATTTCAAAATAAGTGCTGTGTAGATGCTCCCAATTTCGAAATAATCTACACAATTGACATAACTTGAATTTCGCTACAAAAATTGAGCTAAGCCCAGCTGTGTAGGCGCACCTTTACTCTGAGAATCCTGAGAATGGAATGATACTCAGATATATGCCTAGAAAATACCCTAGAAAGGAAGTGTGTCTCAGGTAGGATTTTGTGACTCTGGGAGTGATTAGGCACAATTATTACTACAGGTACTTCCCCCTTGCTCTTCTGATCTCCTGTTTTACAAGTTGTAAATGTTCTGTAACTAAATATGAAGAACAAGGCATTTATGCTTCTCATTGACCTCAAAAGTATTTTGTGAGTCTATATGAATTTATGCTTCTTAACAATATTTATTTGAAAATCATTTAGGATGTTCAAGATCCTTAATTGTTGTTGAAATAATACATGGTCAGAAAAGAATTTTCATAGTGATTGTATTTTGAGGGGGGCATTTCTACAGGTTTGAAAACATCATGGCAGTTAACAAATATGAAGGTAGTCTTTAAAATTACAGAAAAAAAGAAATGCTTATAACCAAACAACTGGACATTATATCCTCTATAGCTTTCTTTCTGGGACCTGAATTTCAATTCAGGTGTTTCTACTGATTACATCACAATACCTATTGAAAGTCAAAATTAAAGGCTTTGGTGACAGCATCACTTTTGAAGGAGAAAGTCAGAATCCCGAACTCAGATCCTGACGGATAAAAAATCTTTTAATTTTAAATGCACGTATTTATCTTTCAAGGTGTATGCTTTTAATAACCAAAGATCCTATGTATTTAAACTTATCCTTAATATGGGTATTTCAGTTCACTTGTTTGTTTGGCTTTTCTGGTGCACATAAAATTTCTTTGTCTTTGGGAGGCAAATACAGGCCTCTATCTGAAAACTGACTGTCAAGCTACAATTTTTTCAGACCTCTTACTCTAATAGATAACCTAATCTGTCACCTAGATTTTTGTGCTAGGGCTGGGGCGCATAAGTGACCTGTGGACTGGATGCAGTTCACCGGGGCTATCCCCTGGCAGGCCACCAGATGCTTTATTTACCTGCACATCTGCAGGGATGGTTGATTACACCTTCTGCTGGCCACAGATCCAATAGGAGCTATGAGAAGTGGTGTCCCAGTAGTTCCATTGAACAGTAACAGGAAACTTGGAAATGGCAGAGATGCTTAATGACTTCTTTGTTTCGGTCTTCACCAAGAAGCTGAGCAAAGCCTGAGATGCTGAGCAAAGCCGCGGAGCACGCGGGCAGCGGGAAAGCCCAGACATGCTGCGGCTGTCTTTGCTCCCAGTCTCCAGCAGACCAGGGAGACGCAGAGCAAAGCCTCGGAGGACCTGGGCGGCGGGACCGCGGTGCTTCTCGGTCTACCGCCCGTGTCTTCCTGGTCTGCTGGGGTGGGGAGGGCGCAGGTAGTACACCCCCCCCTCCCCAGCAGACTAGGCTTTTCTCCGGACACCTGTGGCAGAGCCA